TAACGCCTCCATCTCCTCAGCATCCTTGGCTCTGCTTACCAGCACATCAAAAATCTCATCTTGAAGGGCTACCACCTGCCTACGTAGCTCGTATCTGAGTCCAAAGGAAAATTTACGACATCGATCTCTCTCGGTAGGCACCAGACTGATTCCATACTTTAACAATTTCAAGAACTCTATCTCATACTCTGAAACAGTCATGTCACCCTGAACCAAGTCCTGAAACTGCTGTCGTCTCTGGACTAAGTAGCGCTCACCCAAGAATCGGCTCCGAAAACGCTCCTTGAAGAAATCCCATGTCAAACGATCGGTAGGAACACTACCGGTCACTGACTCCCACCATGTGTGGGCATTGCCATCTAACATCGCTACTGCCCCCAAATATCTCTTAGTTGAGTCCAAACCCAACTGATCCATGCGTCTTTCTGTATCCTGTAGCCAATCTTCTGCTTCAGTAGGAATTCCTCCAAGCTTTCCTCCAAAAGTCCTGACCCCATTAGCAATTAGAGTTTGCGAAATAGGAACCTCAGATACAACACCAGCAGCTCTGACTGCTCCTTGTATCAACTGCAGAAACTGTCTAATAAAAGTCTCATCCAAAGCAACTCCGGTAGATTTTGGCTCAATATCGGTCGCTCCTATGATCGGTGTAGTCATGCCAATACCATCGGTAGGAGGCAAATTCGTTGGGGTCGAAGGAGCAGGATCACCTATCGGAGGTGGGGGATCTACTCGTATCTCATTGATCGGATCTGCAAATCTAGCCACTCGACCTCGTCCACGGCTAGTTCGACGACCACGTCTAGCACTCATTTTTGGTGGATCTCAAGTTTGCTACAGAAGATAAAACTTAGGGTTAGATAAGCACTTGGAGTCTCGAACACAGTTAAAAATTTAATAACTTTATGACATGACCTTAGTAACTCGTTTTGTAAATATTTCAAAATCGTATTTTCAATTTGGACTCATACACAGTCCGAGGTTTAAAAACCAAAAGCTCTGATACCAATAAATGTAACCCCCTAGACCCGGCCTATGCGTTTCGACTAAGTCTAGTGGATCACATTATGATTCTTTAAGACATTTTTCCGAAACCGTTATTCAAACAATGTAAAAATCACATTATAAATGACATGAAATTATAATAAATCATACTATCAAAACCTAACTTGTAAATATAATACCAATAAGTAATAAATTAATTTAAAACATATCTTAAAAATCAAATCACGATAAATCGAATAGTAATAGTAAAAATGTCATCATATTAAAATCCCATACTTTAAAATAAGGTCCATGACAACAAAATAAAGTCAACTTGCAAGGTAAAAACATTACAATCAGATATACTTCAAAAGATATGTTGATCCTCCAAGTGCTCAATCCAGGGTATCTAACCAACAGTATCTGAAAGGGGAAAAACATTTTCGAAAAGTGAGCTAGGCTCAGTGTGTCCCAATATTACCATAAAATCACTATAGGTACACTAAACATATCATAGTCCAAAAAGTCTCATAAAATTATACTGCAGTAAATCTCTTTAAAAAAACGTTACCCTAAGGGAACATCTTAGGGCCTGAGAGCCTACCCAAGATAGATTTCGGGGCCGTGAGGCCTACCTAAGAACACATCTTAGGGCCGCAGGGCCTACCCGAGAATGATCTCAGGGCCGCAAAGCCTACCTAAGAGTCACATTAGGTCCGTAAAATTTTCCAGCTTGATCAGAGCTGTACTTTATAAATTCATATTCCAAAAATTCAATTGCACCGTGTTATAAATTCCATAAAACCATAAACATGGTAATTCTATACCATTTCAAAACAAATATCAGATAACAGTCATAATCCATAAATCATCACATTAAATCGGTGTATCAACAATACGGTAACCAAAGAATTCAGTGTACCAAATATTAAAACAAATAAAACAGTTCAATAATAAATAGGGAACACACCTCGATAATAGTTCAAATCGTGGATCTACTGATTGCTGGTTTCACCACGCTCTGCTACAGTTTTCGAACCTAATTTATAATATCACTATATTACTAATGGGTAACATAAATAAATCTCTAAAATCATAAAATTTACGAGTCTTACGAGTGAATACTGGTATACGTGGTTTAACTGATCTAGAAGAACTGGGTCGAGCTATCGAACGATCCGGTGAGTCTCGTGCACCTTCAAATAACAATAATTTATCAGCCCCAAATCTTACTTAATTGTTCAAAGCTAAAATTCTTAAGTATCTAAGCATTTTCCGAGTTTGACTATCAATTTGGGGTATTTCGAGTCTGAATTTGGCCAAACGGATTGTGGAATCGGAATCAAGACGTCGAAAAACATAAAGTATGACTTTCCGAAAATTTAGATTCTTGGTCAAAGTCAAAGTCAACCACTTTGACCATCGATTTGGAGACCTTCGGGTTTGAATTTGGTGAAACGGACTGCGGAAATGGATTTGGCACGTCGAAAAATATCAGGATAGGTATACTCGGAAAATATTTACGGTCGTTTAAGGGTCGGTCAAAGCCATTTTAAGTTTTGGTCAAAGAAAGTCAACGGTCAACGGTCAACGGTCAACGGTCGGGTCTCGGGTCGGGTCAACGGTCGGGTCGGGTCAGACCGGTCAAACCGATTCAGACCGGTCAAACCGGTTCGAACCGGTTGAAACCGGTAAACCGGTCAGAACCGGTTGAAAACCGGTTAAACCGGTTTCCAGCAGCCACTCGCCCTGCGGCGGCGCGTGAGGCGTCCTCCGGGGCCCTAAAAATCCCGGAAAAATTTCTAAAAATTATTTTGAGCGATTTCAAGATACTTACAACGATCGGTTCAAATTTTTGAACGGCGGAGAGCTCGATTTCAAATCGGCCGAATCTTTGACTGCACCACCTCCTCACGCGCGCCGCCGTCTACGGCGGACAAGGTTGACACCGGTGAACTCGGAACGGCACAAGGAACACGATGGTGCGGGAGGTGTCGTAAACGGAGCAACGATCAGCGGTGAATTTAAGATTTCCTCGGCGATAGAGCTAACAAAACCGTCGCTACTTTGACTGGAAATTCCCGACGTTTGGCCGCGTTTCGCTTCAATTAATTTGAAGGGTTTGTTCCTCGCTCGATGATGAACACAACGATGGGTTTAAAACGATGATCGAAATTTGGACGGCGTCGGAATCGGAGTTGGAAACTGCGTATGGGAAAGGAAAATTGGGAGCATTTTGGTTCTGAAAATCAGAACCAAATGTACGCTTATAATCAAAGCTGCCGACAGTTTTAGGGTAAATTCAAGGCTTGGTCCTTGGATTTCCTTCACTTCTAAAATGGCCTATAAACTCTCATAAATTTTGATTTAGTCACCAACAATTTACCAATTTTCACAATTAACCTCTAAAATTTCAATTAAATATTATTTTGTAAATATTCGGGTTGTTACAATTAAATAATTAATTATGTTATAACATAGTAATTTATATCAAAACGATATCATTTTTTATCCATATATAAAACTAAAATGAGACTCAAAACAACGTTATTTTAGATTCCTAAACAAATCAAACTTATACAATAAACAAAGTTTGTTTTGGATCTCTATAAAAATCTATTTTTTTATTTTCTTGCTTTTTCTTGTTTCTTTCTTTCGTATATTTTATTTCTCTCAACGTGAACCAAACTCAAATCTCATCTATTCTGTCAATCGTCGTTATGACCACCACTTATTAGTGTCACTAGGTCGATGAATCTCAAAATTTCTCACTAAACCCATCTCACCTTTTGAACACGAGTCTAGTGTATGTTTAACCAAAAAACAACCCAAACTCCACAAAATTGATGTTTGAAAACTTCAATTTGTTGAATCGCCACAGTCCAACAATAATATTGTTTTACTAATATTTCCTTCCCTTACAAATAGTTCAATTTAATTTCTAATAGGAACTCCACAAAAGTCTAAAAAATTATCCTAAACTTCCAGCTTTCTCTTTCATTAATCTCAATATAAGACTATTAGATCATCATGGTTTTGAGATATATTACTCTTCTTACTGACTTTTTTACCATTTGATATCTTGATTCATCATGGTTTTGAGATATATTACTCTTCTTACTGACTTTTTTTTACCATTTGATATCTTGATCTGACCACTAGAGCGTTGAAGGTGAAAACGAGTTTATGACCGAAAATGGGTTATGAGTTTTATATTTTGATTAGCATTTAAGATTTAGGGTTTGATTATGAGTTAGATTTTAGTGTTTACTTTAGGTCCTATGTTTTGAGGTGAAACACATGTTAAATTTGGATTTAAGGAATCAAAATAGGTCAATATAAAACTCTTGAGTCTAATAACTGTCGACTACGACAGTCAAAGCGATGATTAATCTAAAAAAATAATAAAAAAATGACAAGTTAGCACGCAATTAGAGATATAAACGGTCAAGTGACTAAAACAATGGTAATTTGAACGTTCAATGATTGAATTACAATTTTCTAAATTTTAATGACTAAAATAGGAGTGAGAAGAAAGTTAAATGACGGTTTGTGTAGTTTACCCTTTCTATTATATCAACAAACACTGTGTCAAAATAAAGAAAAATTTACAAAGTAAAATTTACATACAAATTATTTACCATTATAATAAAAAAAGTATTTACTATTTTACTTGTGATTATTATTGAGTAAATATGTATAAATACATCCCTTTTTTACTCATTAAAAACCTTCTAATATAAGTACTAGTCAAACCCATCACGTAAAATAAAATAATTAACATAAATACATATCATATATGGCAACATCTAACAAAAATCTCTTTATATTTCCTACCATTTTGTCCGTTTACTACGTTAAACTAATCCTTCTTATCAACGTCATCATCGGATTCCATTTTCATCCGACGCCAAGGAATCAACTTTATAAAAGAAAAAGGCCAAAAAACCCTAGTCCTTTCCGCACCATATATATCCCCCCATTTAAGCTTTATATATTTATCATCTCCAACTTCTGGTTGGTATATGAGTTTTCATGTTGGTGTGGATTATTTGTCGACCATGACCATCGTCTTCCCCGAGTCTCTCATCTTCTTCAACCTAATCGACCCTTGGCCTTGTTCTTCTTCCCTCTTATAATTAGGGTTTCTTTGCTTTTCTAGTGTTTTTCCTTTTTCTTGTTCTTTTTTGTGGAATAAAGATGGGGAGTGGAGACAGAAGCTTTAGGAACTTTCATTTACACATACCTCACCTTCATCATCATCATCATCATGGGAAGAAGCAGTTCAGCGATGTGCCGAAAGGGTGTCTGGCGGTCAACGTCGGATCGGAAGGCGAGGAGCAGCAGAGATTCGTGGTGCCGGTCATGTACTTCAACCATCCCTTGTTCATGCAGCTGTTGAAAGAGGCGGAGGAAGAGTACGGGTTCGATCAGAAGGGTACCATTACGATCCCTTGTAATGTACGAGAGTTTAGGAACGTGAGGGGCTTGATTGATAGGGAAAACTCCCTTCATCACCATCACCATCATCACCATCACCATCTTGTTGGGTGTTTTAGGGTTTGATGAACCTTTTTTTTTGCTGTTGTGTGATATTCAAATGAACAACAACAAAAAGTAAGTGATTAATGGTTTGTAAGAGGCAATCCCAAGTCCAAAACCATGAAGAATTTGAATTCGATCGTTGTACTTTACGAAAACTAAGAAGCTAGTCCCGGTTTGTTGATAAACAAAAGAATTTGAACTGCTGGTGTTCGCTGATTTTCATGTCAATAATTATAAATCATAGTAAAGCATGATGGTTGGATTCATATAAATCATAGTGAAGGGACCGATTCATTGATTTTCATAAAGTAGAGGGATGGAATTCAAAATTTGACATTTTTCCTTTGCTTTTGATTTCTTGTTGGTAGAACCTTCTTAGATGTGGTTGGTTGAAGAGGGATGGATCCATGGTGATAAAAGGACGATGCCATGATGACGACAATCGTTGCTTACAAATAATATCGGCTAACTTTTAGTTCTTTGTTAGGAATTCCGTAAAGGAAAAGTAAGAAAGTAAATGCCTCTTTCCTTTATTTATTCTCTTTCTTTTCTTTTTCTTTTCGGTCTAAAAGAGGAATATATTGATCAATAGAATGGTGATAGGTGTAAGAATAAGCTATACATAACCAACAATCAATTATATAATGGGATGAGACATTGAATTCCTTAACTGAAGTTAGAAGTTCGAAACCTGACTTGTGAATGGAGTAAACTGTATTGGGGGTCGATATTGTCTCTGTAATACCCGATCCAAATTAGTCGATCAATAAATTAAATATCATTTATTCTGTTCGGTTAGCTAAGTTATTTATCGTTATTTCGTTATATTCTCTTAAGTCATGAGTTTTAGACCTACAAAGAACATTATTTTTTTTCCCTAGAATGTTAATGCCATATGTTATGATTAGTGTAGTTCTCAAGAATTGGGATTTAAGGGTTTAAAGTTTAGGAATTAATGTTTTATAATTTAAGTAGTAAATAGATAATAAAATTCAAACTTTATATAATTTTTGTATCAAAATATTTTCACATGTTTACACATATATATATATTTAAAAATGATATATAATTTTATATATTATTAATAAATTAAATACTAAAATGTTAATATATATATATATATATATTAAACTTTATAATAATATGTCAATGTCCAATTCATTGATATTTCGTATCATATTTATGATGATTTTAACATGTTTTGCATCATTTTTTTAATAATATGATTATTTATTGTGGTGTCTATTTCAGGGTCTTGATGGCATGTGGCATCATTAGAATAGACAAGAGGTATTGGTAGGGTTCGTTGTCGTTTCAACTTATTTTATTAATTGAAATATTAACCTTACATATCACATCCTATTTCTTAATAAATCATAATAATTATTGAGAGTCGTATATATATTTGTAATATTTTCAATTTTTAACTTATTTTTTATTGTGGAAAAATCTAAGGCTCGATCATGTTAAATTATGATAATATTTTAGGTGCAACTCATTTTATTATTAAAAAATATTAACATTATAGATCGCAACTTGTTTCTTAGTGAATAATGTTATTATTGGGCTTAACATTATTTTTTATATATATTCATAACATTTTTAACTTTTAACTTATTTTCTTATCATGGGAAAATCCAATGCTCCATCAGTTTAAACTTTGATAACATTTTAGGCCCAACCTAAATTGTTAATAGCATTCCTAACATTTACCATTTATAACTCATTTTCTTACCATGTATAACATTTTAGTACAACCTGTTATGTTACTATAACGGATAACTTTTTTGATTTCAACTTATAATATTTTTGAGTAACGCTTTTGATCTATAACTTTGTTTTATCGATCACGTCATTTACTAGTTTTGTTTTAGACGCCTTACAACAAAACCTCCCGAAAAAAAAGCCTCTATGGTCATAAACATTTGGGGGCCTTGGACTTATTCTACATTGAATTTTAAGTGATTCCAACATATCAATTTAAGGATTTTGAGAAACCTGTAGAGTACTTAGATGAATGTATCTTCTTCACATATAACAATGAGTATTCAATCCGAATCGATCCTATAAAGGTCATAGATTTTTCATCTAAAATTTAGATTCGAGATATATCAATTTTTTAAGGATGTGAGTAAAATTTAGATTCGAGATATATCAAAATTTTTAAGGATGTGAGTAAAATTAGATTTATGGTGAAAGTAATCGACTCAATCTAAGAATAATGGTATTATTAATCTTTATATATAGAGATAATTATTATAATATCTCTCTGTATATATATTTTTAATTTGCACACACATTTGACCTAATATATGTAAACAATAAAAACGTTGTCACCGTTAGATCGAATCAAATATTGATTAAGACCTTAAAATTTAAATGAATGGAGAAAATCGGGATATCTAACATGTTTTTTTATTAATATGAAGTGATTATAGGATAGTATCTATTCGAAAGACTCTCAACCATTCGATAATTAACACTCAAATACTCCTGCATATGTCATCCTAGAACCTGTAACCTCTAGAGATACCAATCATTACGGGTGTTCAATCGGTTTGTTCTATTAACCGACCGGACAGAACTTTAAAAGTTTCATTAACCTATTTTTTTTTCGTTTTCACCGTTACCGAATTGATTTTTTCAAAAATAATAACCTAAATAAACAAAATATAGTTACTCGATCGATTAACCAAATTAACTAAAATTTTAAATAATATATATTATATATTTAATATTTTTAGGTAATTCAGTTAATTCGATTAAAACCGAAATTTAAACACTCCTAAAGCCATTAATATAGAAACAATATATTAAATATTTAAAAATTTTGGTAAATTTGGTTAATTAACCGATTACGAATCAAATTAACCAATAACTGAACTTTGAAAAAATCATTAACTGTTAACCAATCAAATCTAAAATTAACCGACCGATTAATCGAATTTTTTTCAATCCAATCAGTTTAATCGATTAATCAAAATTTTAAACATCTCTGATAATCGTGATTTTAATTACTAAGTCTGCTTAATTTGGTTAAATCAACCAAGTTGAGTTGAGAGAACTGTCTGGTAATGAATTCCATAATGTCTGTAATGGGATAAGGTCCATTGATTTGTTTATTACAATGAAAAATTTTAATTAAGAAAGAAATTATTTGGGCCCAAATATCAAATAGAAAAGAAGCCTCACTTTGATTGAATGGACCTTAGAAATCGCTACAGCCCAATTTACGCTTTGTTTTCTCTGTTTAAAATCCCATTTTCAACGCTGATGAGAAACCCTAGAGAACACTTTGCCCTGAACTTCGAGGAGCGGCTGCTCAGATTCTCTCTCTCAGGTAACCAATATACATTTCGAGATTTCCTACGGTTTTTGTTTTCACTTATGGTGCCGATGTTTTTGCTATATCTTATACGGACTGCATTTTGATTAACAGTTGAAACGATGTCTTCGGTTGGTGAAGCCGCTTGCTCTTACGCTGCTTTGATTCTCCATGACGATGGCATCCCCATTACTGTATCCTCTATGCGTTTTCTTATGTTTTTATGATTCAACGATTTATGATTTGGATTTTCATTATTGTTATTGAAATGATTAATTTCCCGTAGCTGTGAGAAGTTGGATTTTCGCCAGTTTTCTTTAACTTTCCCTAATAGGCTGACAAGATTGCAACTTTAGTTGAAGCTGCAAATGTTCCGGTTGAATCATACTGGCCGAGTTTGTTCGCCAAGCTTTTCGAGAAGTGTGATATCGAGAATCTTATAACGAATATCGGTGCCGGTGGCGGCGGCGCTCCGGTTGCCGCTGCTGCACCTGTTGCCGCAGCTGCTGCTGCTGCTGCTACTGCTCCAGCTCCTGCTGAGGAAAAGAAGAAGGTTGGACGATAAATCACAAATGAATAAGAATTTGCATTTCATTTGTCACCGTTTATTCTGATATGTGTTGCTGTTTTGGTGATCTTGCAGGAAGAGCCAGAGGAGGAGAGCGATGATGATTTGGGATTCGGTTTGTTCGATTAGAAAGAACCTCTCAGTTCCTGTTTTGGTTACATTACTCGTTTAATGCATTAAGCTTTGACAGTAGTAGTTGTTTTGAGTTTTACTGTTATTTGTATTAGTTTTTGTCTATTTGAATCCTTTTTACGCGTACAAGTTTCGGACCAAGTTTTACCGTTGGTTATGAGTGCTGAATCTCTGTCTTTTCCATTGCCATTCATGATTTGGTGCTTAGTTTGTTGTTTTGATCCATAGCTGTGAGTACCGGATATAATCCGGAGATACTATTGTTCTTCTTTTGATAGTCTGGGTGATTATACGGCTCGTTGACGCAAATTTTCATGGCAAATGCAAAGTCGACAGCTACCATGGCAACAACAAGCTCCATTGCCCACATCAGTTCATCTCCATCCATATTCATGAACCATATTGCACAATATGGCCATGACCTTTGAACAACGATTGCAATGTAGCCAAAATCTCAGCACTATGGAGCTCTAGGCCCTAGGGATCCATCACTAATTATTTCTTGTTTAGCATAGTTACTCCAAACCACGTGCTTCTTGATTGCATCTCTAGGTTATTCCTGAAACCGCATAGTAGGATATTTTGAAACACAACTTGGTAATATAAGGTTATAAAACGATAGGAATCGGTTGCAATAAAAAATCTTATCGGCAACCTAAATTTTTAGGTTGGACATAATAATATTTTACGTTTAAATAAAAATATTAATTTTTCAGAATATTTTCGACGGTAAATCTTAAATTATGTAACTTTTTATGAAATGTGTGGTGAGAGACCAGAGGCGAGCATCCGTTTAGTCCACTTGTAGGTTACTAAATGAAAACGAAGATTACAATGTCATGCACGTTAAACAGTGCCGTTTGCCTATTTATTTTTGAAATAAATCATGTCCCATACAAAGGGATAGATCAAGGGGCGGGTATGCCTTCCGAAATTTTAAAATTACAATATATTTTATGTTTTTTCATATATTTTCTATTGAAAGTTTGATTTTATCTTCTGAAATTTTAAGTTTATCCTCTAAAATTTTAAAATTTCAAATTCATTCATTCTAACATAAAATTTTACGTCCGTCTTTACGCATACAATTTACTATGGATAAATTGATTGATTGATGGATGGTAGTAGTCAGCATTAAATAAAAGAAAAAAAAATGAAAATTTGATTCTCAAGTTGGCGGGTGTGATAGTGTCATTTTATGAGGGGGGAATGTATTAGAGAGATTATATCATGTGCTGGGAGTAGCAGTGTTCCACAATCTAGATTTGGTTGTCGTTTGCGAATATAAACTGATATATTATTTTTTATTTATATGATATAAGTATAAAGTAATATATTTTTAAAAATAACTCTCAACTATTTAATATTAAACGTTCAAACCTCTTATTTTTATAATCCTCGAACTCAAAACTTTAAAATATAATAATAATTTTTATCGATATCACTTAATTCGTGATAAACTAATATCTTTGGATATATAAACAGTGATATCGAACTCGAGTAACTCGCGATTTGTTGTCTCATTTACAGCCCAAATTATAGGTGTAGCATGCATCTTCTTGGTCCTAATTTATATATAATGATTAAACATTTGGAAACCCTTATATTAAATCATTCGAACCTGTATATTCAGGTGGATGGATACCCTGTTTATAGCATGGCAACACCAACAAATACTGGTGCCAAAGAGATGCTATCATATCTAGGTGCCAAGTCCATTGCAGGAGTTGATGGTAAGAAAGTGGTGGTAACTGATCTTAGAGAAGAGGCGGTCGTGTACATTAATGGCACGCCATTTGTACCGAGAGTTAAATAAGCCTGTCAATACCCTAAAGCATGTTGGAATTACTGGGCCAGTGGTATGCCATCTTAACTTTTGGTTTACGTTTTGTGGAAAGTTATTTAGCACCATTACTTCAGCTAACTTCAAGAATTGTGAAAAATGATGCAGGTGAAACACATGGAGGCACGACTAAAAGAAGATATATTGTCCGAGGTTAGACAATCTGGTGGTCGAATGCTTTTACATCGTGAAGAATTTAGTCCATCAACAAATCAGTCCAGTGTCATAGGATGCTGGGAAAACATCTTTGCTGATGATGTGAAGACAGCTGCTGAAGTATATGCCGCTCTAAAAGATGAGGGTTATAATATAGAATATAGGAGGATTCCGTTAACTAGAGAAAGGGAGGCTTTAGCGTCTGATGTGGATGAAATCCAGAACTGTCTAGATGAGTAAGTACACGTGTCTGCAGATAGTGCTTTGTTCATCAGTCTATTGAAGTTATTCCTGCAAAGTTTTTATTCGAGCACAGTTATTCTTTTTTAACTCAAAGGAAATGTTATTGTGAATGTGTTCTAATGTTCCTTCAAATTAAATCATTTTGTTGAACCTTGTAATTATGTCTTCTACAGCTCCTCAGATTGTTACCTCTATGTATCACACACTGGATTTGGAGGAGTTGCATATGCAATGGCAATCATTTGCTGCATACTGGATGCAGAGGTGAACATCGGTACATCCACTGCGCAATCATTGGGTGATGCACATCGACATTCTACAGCTGAAGAAAACGCACCATCCTGGACTTCTGATGAAGAAGCACGAAGGATGGTTGATTATCGTGATATACTAAGCCTTACAAGAGTTCTCATGCATGGTCCCAAAAGCAAAGCAGATGTTGATATCATTATCGAAAGGTCTCTCATTTCCCCCCTTTATTTATATTTTAAAGAATCAAAATGAAGTTTACCCTGCCCCTAGTCATTTAACATCCTACTTATCGACTTTTTTTACCCTTTAATGGTGATGGATTTCTTCTGTTCTATTGTGAAGGTGTGCTGGTGCGGGGCATTTACGAGGTGATATCCTTCATTACAGTAAGGCACTCAAGGAGGTCTGCAATGACGATGATGAGCATCAAGCATACATCATGGATATGGGCATTAAGGCTATGACTATGAGGTTAGTTCTTGCATAGTTGCTCTTGCTCTAAGCGAAATTTGATTTCACAGACTTCATCAAGTAGCTTAGCTTGCCCATTAGTGTTTGTGTTTTGAACGATGGGTTCAAGTAAAACTAACTTCAAGGCCATGGTTGTGGTTTTAGTCGGGTTTCTCGAATGCTGTTATTGCTGCTAAGCTTTGGAACATAATAGGCTTCGTTTTTCGTGTTTCAAAAACTTGTCCGTTTATATTTGCAGGCGCTACTTTTTCCTCATCACATTCCGGTCGTACCTATACAGCACATCTCCAACTGTGACGAAATTCAAAACGTGGATGAATGCAAGGCCAGAATTACGACATCTCTGTAATAATCTTAGAATCGACAAGTAGGTTCGACAGATTATAATGACCTTCAACATTCAAATGTATGTTTGTACGAATGTGCATGTATGTATGATGTATAGGTATCAACGCCTGTTCATAGCCTTTCCCTTTATGATTGATTGTTATACATACAGAGGGTTGTATCTCGAGCTTTCATCACTCGGCTGGTGGTGTTTAGAAGCCGTTTCATCGGAGCTTAGCCGACGTAAAAGTTAACAGGGTCATATAGGTTTACAAATTAAGTAGTAAACTGATCCCAAATATATTGTATTCGGTTAGAAATTCAGACTGCAAGAGTCTTGTTCATGTTTTTATTCTTTCCTTTCAGCTTTGTAATATTGCACGAATTTTGTCCTGTCCTAAAGACTAAACCTGACCCCAAGTTTTAAAGCCTAAACTTAAACTGAAGGCTTAATGTATATATATATATATATATATATAATGTTAATGTTTAAATTTGGTTCCATGATCTAAACCTAAAGAAAATAAAAAATAACAATGCTATACGGTATTAGTATTCTAATAATTGGGGAATGGCTGTGGAAGCTGCCATATGTCAACGGCAATGCTTTCACATGGGATGAATAAGTTTAAATATTTGTTTATAATTATTTAAATTATTTTATAATTATTTGAATTATTTTATAATTTTAATAATATGAATTTAAAATTTTTAATTATTTCACATAATGAATATCAATTTCAGATATAGGATGAAAAATCTGTGATTCGATATAACAATATATATATTTAAAGTAATTGCTTTAATACCCATCTCAATAATTTTTTTTTATTAGGCCTTTAATTTTTTGAATAAAATATATATTTATATCGATCTGAGTCGAGTGCAAATATAATTTTTTGTTCCTAAAGTTTTGGATTTAATAAAATCTTTTTAAACTCATATTGATTTGGATTCGTGTAAAAGATGTATATTTTTAAGTCACATTAGTTACAAATTTGATCTAATTTAACAGGTTGTAATCTCTGTATAAAATAATAAAATAAACGATTAAAAGAGAATAAAAATTATATATCATAAAAGTCAGATTTTAAAATAAAATTTTTATATCATAAAAATTTATATTCATAAAAGTCAGAAATTATATGCGAAACAATAGTTCAAAAGAAATACCGACTTACTTATTATCAAAATATTTAGGGTCAAGTACATAAATGGTCTTCCGATTATAAGGTACTACTTTATTAAGTCATCTGACTATTAAAAGTTACAAAATGATCCTCCGACTATAGAGTGTTGCTTTGTTGAGTCCCTCGACTATTAAAAGTTACAAAATGGTCACTTGACTATTCATTATATTCCAAACTCGTCCTTTACGTTAAAAAGTTAGCAATTGTCTAAACTAGGCGTTAACATGATGACTGAAATATGATAGTCGTTTGAGATTCTAAGATCAAGTTTTATCATATCATAATCACTAAGGTTAACATTCAACTCTGAATACCGTTAAAATTTTAACGAAAAAATGACGAGTTTGGAACATAATGAATAGTCAGGTGACTATTTTTATAACTTTTAATAGTCAAGGGACTCGACAAAGCAACACTCTATAATCGGAGGACCATTTTGTAACTTTTAATAGTCAAGGGACTTAATAAAATAGTATCCTATAATTGGGAGACCATTTATGCAGTTTACCCAAAGATTTAACTAATTATAAGTTAGGTTATGAAATCATTTACAATTCATGAAAAATTTATATTAGCAAGTGATCTACGTAAATCCATAATCAAGGTAATCATCCTTAATTAAGACAAAGATTCTGTTTCCCTTCCCAGTCATCAACATGTCTAAAACCCGTCAATTCCTACATAGATTTGTCGGTGTTTCATCCTTAAAAAACCAATGGTGACGGTGCCATTGAACCCTATATATTTTATATTTATTCTCCATCGTGTTCAACAATTTTCACCCTATAATTTTTTCCCTTAGTAGAATAGCCATCCCCCGCCCTTCTATGGCCAGAAGGCTACCGACCACCACCCTCCGCCTCTTCAGCCGTCGTCTCAACACCGCCTCCTCCTCCTCCTCCATTGCCGCCGGTTCCCGTCCCTCTAAACCCGAACCGGCCGCGCCGACGATCGTGGACCTCGATGATCACCGAAAGCTTTTCTCATCCGTTTCGACGTGGAAGCTTCTGCGTTCCACGGTCAACCTGGGGTTGGTCGCGAACGAGATGTTCGTTGATTTCGGGATGTGGGTTATGAATTCCAGGCTCGTGGAAACAGGTCTGGTGCGCGATGTTATATTGAAGACCGTGAAACACACGATGTTCGAGCATTTTTGTGCCGGCGAGACCACCGAGGAGGCCGGCAAGTGCGTCCGGAAAATGCACGAAGCCGGTTTGCGAGGGATGCTCTCTTACGCCGTCGAGCAGACAAGCAATAACGACGGCTGCGACCGGAATTTGGAAGGCTTTATTCGCAGCGTGGACCTCTCCAAGTCCCTTCCACCTTCTTCTGTAAGCTTTCCGTATCTTTTGCTTTAACAATGAAATCTTAGGGTTAAGCTTTAATGGAGCCTTATTAAACTGAATAAAATTAATGACTTGACCCTTAATATTTATGATTTGACCATAAAATTATAAATGAATATAATAAAATTTATGATTTGGCCCTTACAGGTAAGCTTTGTGATTGCAAAGATAACAGCAATATGTCCCATAAATCTTCTAAGAAGAGTCAGTGACTTACTCCGATGGCAATACAAAGATCCATCTTTCACTCTTCCATGGAAGCTCAACACTCTCCCAATTTTCACCGACATAAGCCCTCTTTACCACACACTCCGAAAACCAGAACCATTAACACCCCAAGAAGAACAAGACCTCGAATTAGCCCACAAGAGACTTCAAGATCTCTGCCGGAAATGTGTCGATCTCAACGTGCCGTTAACGATTGACGCTGAGGACACATCGTTGCAACCCGCCATCGATTACTTTACCTACTCCTCGGCGATCATGTACAACAAAGACGGTAACGCCACCGTTTACGGCACGATCCAAGCGTACTTGAAAGACGCCAAGGAGAGGCTGTTTACTGCGTCTAAAACGGCCGATAAACTTGGCGTGCCGATGGGGTTTAAGATGGTGAGGGGTGCTTACATGTCTAGCGAGAATAGAGCGGTTTCGAGATTCGGCTACGACTCGCCGATTCATGACAGCATCGACGAGACACACTCGTGTTACGACGAATGTGCCTCGTTCATGCTCGAGAGGATTGCGAACGGCAACGACGCGGTCGTGCTCGCGACTCATAATCTTCAGTCGGGGAAACTGGCGGCATCGAAAGCACGGGATCTGGGGATTCGAAAGGGGAATCCCAAGCTGGAATTCGCTCAGTTGTATGGAATGTCAGAAGCCTTATCGTTTGGTTTGAGAAATGCAGGGTTTCAAGTGAGCAAATATTTACCCTACGGACCAGTGGATATGGTGATGCCGTATCTTTTGAGGAGAACCGAAGAGAACAGAGGATTGCTATCTACTTCAAGTATCGATAGAGTTCTCATTAGGTAAACTGTTCCTTTTAGGGGTTTCTTATGACATCTATTGTATTCGTTTTACTGTTCGTGTTCGAGACTCATATGTTTTGATGCATGTTTTACCGTTCATGTTCGAAATTTGTGGTCATATTCTGATGCATGTTTTACTATTTATGTCCGAGACTCGTAATTAAATTTTGATGCATGTTTCGTTGTTTATGTTGGTGATTTATGATTATATTTTGAAGTAATGATTCGGGTTGTGTTTTGTTTTGCAGGAAAGAGTTGAAGAGAAGGGTAAAGAGCCTGCAATTTGGGAAGCCGGCAAAATCTCGTTGATAGTGCGTTGAATTTTTTTTTTCACGAAATAGTGGGATCGCCAGATTAATTGCTCAAGTGGTGTCCTCTACAGTACCGGGGGTAGGTCGCCATGCACGCCCGGCGACCTACCAGGTCGCCATGCACGCCCAGCGACCTGGTAGGTCGCCATGCATGCCCTGCGACCTACCAGCCAACGACCTCCATGCCCATGCACGCCCATGCACGCCCATCTCGCCAAAGGAGCACGCCCATCCATGCCCTGCTGCATGCTCGCCTGCTCGCGACCTTGCCGGGACTCCATGGCGACCTACACATGCACGATCTCCCCATTCTTCCCATGCATGAACCGATCCTTGGTCGCCCCGAGTGTCCCATGCATGAATCGTTCCTTGGTCATCCTTGGTCGCCTCGAGTGCCCCATGCATGAACCGAGCCCCGAGTGCATGGCACGATCTCCCCATGCATGAATCCTTGGTCGCCCCGAGTGCATGGCGACCTCCTTGGTCGCCGGGCGTGCATGGCGACCTAGGAGGTCGCTGGGAGTGCATGGCGACCTATGGTTGGGTTGTGCATGGCAAGCCACGTCGTAGGTCGCCCGGAAGGCATGGCGACCTACGGCCACACTGTTGATTTCGCCCTATTTCAGCAAATAATGTTGGGATAACGTTATTTCGTGAATTATTTATTTTGAGTGCATTATATCGTGAGTTTAGCCTTGGGAAGCCAGAGATTAGGTCACCTGGTTGCATGAAGGTGGAAATAGGCACACGTTAAAAGGATGTATTTTTGAACAGGTGGCGGGGATGGCCATTTTAGACTTAGTTTTTCTTTCCTTTTTTTAATTTTTTATTTTATTTTCAACGTGTGTGAATCCTTTTTGCCAGGCAGTATGAATGAAATTTGAACACCTTAATTTATATTCAAAAGTTTTTTTAATTAATTAATCTGGAGTAAGTATAAGATAATATATGTTCAAAGATAATTCTCAATCATTGAACATTGAACACTCCACTCCTGACATTCTAGCGCTCGAATTTAAGACCTCAAAAAATAACAATAATTTCTTTACTACCGAAGTCACTCAATTCATGCTATATTAAAAAGCTACACCACAATCATTGTTATATATAAGTATAGGATAAATTAGGGCAGGGATGAGTCAGAAGGACATGGGGCAGTTGTTTGTTTAAAATTTTTAATTTTTCTTATATTTTAAATATTTTTTTTATAGTTTTATCAATAATTTATTTTTTTATTAAAATTTTATAGATTTAATTTCTAAAACCTTTTAAGTTTATCCTCTTAACGTATTGAGATTTGAGAGTGAATATTTGTATTAATAATCGAATATTCTCTTAACAAAAATTATTGTTTATTTTGATTTGTTCTCATCACGTTAAGTGTTACATTTGATAGATTAATGTGATAATACAGCTGGTTTTAGTGATCGATATATTTTAAGAACGAATGATATAACAATCATAAAATATGTTATAAAATAAAAAAAAACTCCTAAACTTTGCTATTTTGTTTAGTTATATATATATATATATATATTCAACCTACTGAAATACAAAATTAATCTATGCGTATATTATTAAGAACAAAATTAGAAAACTTGTATTGTTAAGTCAAATTTTAAAAATTAGAATTTTGAAAGAAAAAAAAAAGTCTTATAGATTCAGTGACGAATCTAGAAATATTTTTCAGGGTGGGTATATATGTTAACAACATAAAATTTTTAAATGAGACGAGTATAAATAAATAACTAGTAAAAAAAATTTAGATTTCAAGATGAACATCATTAATAAAATACAAAAATTCAGATTTTAGGTATTCACCCTACAAAGTTGGGCTCCGCCAATGTATAAATTAATGCACAACATTACTTTTATGATTAATCTTTGTATAAAGGAAGATTACTTTTATAATTTGAATAATAATCTATAATTTTTTAAAGGAAAAGCGGGCTCATTAAAATGCATTTCATCCAAATAGGAAAGGAGATGCATGTAGGTTTATGTGCTTTGTTTAGAAATAATCTATAATTGGTTAAATTGCATGTTTAGTATATAAATTATCAGTTTTGATCCATTTTAGTACCTAAACTTTCAATTTTTTCAAAATCATACCTAAAGTTTAGATCTTGTTTCATTTTAGTATACTTGCTCAAATTTAATGTTAATTTTTGAAGAAAAAAAAATTAAAAGTTTAGGTACTAAAAAGGATCAAAACTAATAGTTTAGGTATTAAACATGTTAAGTTTATAGCGGTGGGCACTAAAATGAAACAAAAACTAAACATTAGGTGTGATTTTGAAAAAAAATAAAAATTTAAGTACTAAAATAGACAAAAAAATGATAATTTAGGTACTAAATACGTATTTTACGCTCTATAATTTTAAATTATAGTATTGGTCTTGGATCAACCGGATTATTTTCAAGATTAAATTTAATTCGATTCTCTTTTGAGTATTTACCATTTTCCAAATTAGTTGATATTACCATATAACTTTGGGTATTCTTTTTTTTCATGTTCTTATTAGTTTTACATTGATATAATGACGAAAAATATTTCAAGTGTTTGGTTGAATAATCATTTTGACTTTATATATATATATATATATATATATTGGAGCACTTTAGTCCCCACCTTTTACTTTAAGGTAAAATAGCTCCTGGTGGGATGTAATTTTTAACACTTGTTGTTAACATGATAAATCTTATGTCTCTAAAATTAATATAATTTTTTTGAATTAGCTTGTATCATTTTATAATAAATTTATTGTTAATGTTCAAAATGTAACTCATTTCATAATGTCATTTAATTTTATTATAAATAGTTTTAAATTGTGCTTTAAAAATAATGTTTTTGTCCTCACTATTTAGTCTATAAATAGCGGACAATTTTACTCTTTAGAGATATCCTTAAGATAATTACATTTGTTTTGGAACACTCTATTTGGTTTTCATAAAGTTTTTCTTGAGTGTTGTTTTGAGTAGAGAGAAGAGTAACATCACTCAACTTCACTCCATCTTTCAGGTATACGAAATTTGAAGAGTCGTGCTAGCCTCAGGAGATCATTCATCCATTACACACATCAGAACGAATTCGCTTCTAAGGCAGTGGTTAGTACCATAACATAGTTTATCGATTTTTTGCTTATATATTTTATATTGGATTAATTAGAAAATAAGTGCCCAAGCTATACCATTTTTTAATACCCCAAATTTTGTCTAGTGACTAAAATGTAAGTTTTAAAAGTTTAGTGTCTAAAGTATAAACTTTGAAAAGTTCAAGGACTAAAAATATAATTTTAAAAAGTTATATATTTTAGCAATAAATGAACAATTTGACCTAAAACAATGATTTTGGTGGTAATCAGATTTTCGATACAGGATTTATGTTAAAAGCTATAAAGCGTTCAAGTTCGGTATAGAAATCGGATAATAGGATCGAACTGTAATTTTACAAAATTTGAAGGAGGTTAGAGGATGTTTGGAAATATTATTTCCATATTTTAGATCAGCGAAATTTAGCTCAGTCAGATTTGGTTGAAAAGTGAAATTTTTAGTGACTAAAATGCAAATTTCAAAAATTGCATGGCCAAAGTAGAAAGTCAAAGTCAAGTTTGTTCATCTTTGACTAAGGAATATTTTAATGGAAGATAATGCAATGACAATTGGTAATTTTTAAGATTCATTAATGGTATTTTTGGTATTTCTCATTAATTGAATTTTAAATTCAATTATATTATTAAAGTACCATATTTTAAGGTTAATTTATACTAGAATAATCAAGAAATTTAGTACAATTTCAGTCATCTCCAAGATCAAGGCCGAAACCACCATTGCTTCTAGGTGAGTATTTTATTTTTGATTTTTAAGCTTACATATTGATTTTTGGACTAAGTTGTGAAATAGAGAATTAATCGACATGAAATTCTCTATCACTTGGTATAAGTATTACATGGTGAACAAGCTTTTGTGTTGAGATTAAAAGTTAGGATTTATGTAGGGTTTATGGAGTTTGAGGAATTAATGAAAGATTATTGTGTTTTTAACGTTGAAGATTAATCCTCAAGCATGTATGTTGTTTAAAATCAAGTGTAGAGTGATCTAAAGCATTCGACCACTTTAGGGTTTTAGGGATTGATTGAATATCGATTCAATTTGATGTTGTAATGGTAAGAATAACATATAATAATATAACTTGGCCTAACGATTTTATGAACAAGGGATGTGATTAGTATATGTTTATAGTTTCGGGTAAAATTGGAATATTCAAAAAGTTTGAGGACAAATTTAGAATGGTCATAGTTTCGGGATGAAATTGAAATGTTCAAAAGTTTGATGCCTAATTTAAAATGATAGTCATAGTTTAGGGAGGAAATTGAAACATTTGAAAGTTCAAAGACTAATTTAAAATGAGAGTTATAATTTGAGGACATGTGATCCAATTAACTCTATATTTTATTATATATTTTTCAGTCAATACTAATATCTCGTTTTACGGAATATATTTTCCAACAAAATTATTTTTTAAAATTTAAAAAAGTTATTTATTAATGTTTCATTGTTTTGCATTAATATTGAAGTACACACGAACTATCATGTAAAATTATAGCGTTAACATCGTCAAAATTCTACTACTTAATCCCCATTTTCATTAAAAACAAAATAATTTATCATATAAAATAAAGGATCAAATTGACAATAAATACAAAAATTAGGACTACATTCATCATTTTAGGTTTGTAAAAACAATATTGGATTAACCAGTGAGCCTCAAATGCAACGGCCTCTCCTATAGATATCCAGATCCATTTAACCAAGTAACCAACTTCAAACCATCTTCCTCAAATCATTGATATTAATGGAAAGGGGGTTTCAAAAGCTTGAAGGCTAAGCTCGTTAAGGTCCGTGTTTGGTGAAACAATGGCAACAGAAACTAGCCCTTAACCAAACCAACCAGCCTTACCTTTTCTCATTATAAACCATTTTCAAGACCCCATCAATTCAGCATCTTCTTCGATCTAGTCCTCAAATTCCTCAACAAGCTCCCAGGTTTCTATTTTTTCCTTATGACTTCTTGCATGGATGTTTTTAGTTTCGTTTTTAATCATAATTCATTGATTGGTTTGGCATTTCTGGAATACCCATTTCGTATTATTGTGAAATATTGGTGGGTTTTAAATTTCTCCTCTTTATCTTCTCGTTTACATTTCTTTCTTTAACGTGTTTCTTAGTTCGAAAGTCTAATGTTTGAATCGCGTAGATGATAAAAAAAGGTTCAATTTTGTTTCTTTTAGCCTTTTCATTAGCTGATTACACTTTCCTCTTGCTGCCTATAATTGTTGTTATTAAATAATGAATTTGGCTTTCTTTCTTATTGATTATGAATTGTGATTATTATTTTTTATGACAAATTATATGGTATATAGTAATGGTATATGCTCATAGTCTTTCAGAAACTAAAGTTGTCATATTATTCTGTAAATATATTTTATATATATATATATATATATATATATATTTAAAAAAGCTCCAGCTTGCAGCAAGGTATGTCTATATGATACTTTCATCATTTTAGATTGATTCTTTTTATGATGAATAATAGAGTTGATTTACTCGTCTTTGTTATCGTGGCTGTAAGATTTTTTTATTGATTTCTTTTGCTGCTACCAGATTCGGCCTGTGTACCTAATCGAACACATTCCCGGTGCTTTTCCATCTTGAAGGTTAGAAGAAAGTTAGTCGGTTTGCCACTTGTTATTCCGTCTCGTCTTTGAATAGTAAAATGGAAAGGGGTAGAGGAATCGACGACAATGAACCAGGACCAGTTCATATAGGACCACCCGTGGACAGATATGGTTTTATAAAGCAGAATGCTAGTAATAGTAGCGCTGCGGAAGGTTTAGCAAAGAGTAGGTTAGTGATTCAATTGGAAAAGTTATATTTTCTTTAATTTTTGTTTCGAGCTTAATTAAGTGATATGAGTGTATCTGTCTTTATGATTCTATATTTTGTGCTAACAAACATTGATTTTGATTGTGTTTTATGGTGATTGGAAATATGCAGGGAAGCTAGAAGTGTAAGAAAATGGAGGAAAATGATTGGGGTTGGTGGGAGTGATTGGAAACATTATGTGAGGAGAAAGCCTCATGTCGTTAAAAGGCGTATAAGGAAAGGAATTCCTGATTGTTTAAGGGGTCTTGTTTGGCAGTTGATCTCTGGAAGCAGAGACCTCTTGCTGATGAACCCAGGGGTTTATGAGGTACTTGTTTTAATTTCTTTCAGGTTTAGGCATTCTTTTTTTTAACGAACCGTACTATTTTGGAATACTATGGCCTTTGCTCGACTTTCCTTTATGCCTTAACATGCAATGTTACTTATTTCTGCTAAGTTCTCTAACAGTAACATGGGTGAAAATTGGTCTGCTTCCATCTTCATTATTAATTTTCATTTATCCTATGTTTTACAGTGTTTTCTAACCCAAATGCGACCTTTATGTGTTTAATTCTTACCTTTGGGTAAATAAAATTTGAACTTTCTCCTCCTGTTCCCTTCTTCCAATTTCTCTCTTTATTTCTTTCTTTCTATCTTTCCTTTTTTTTATATATAACGAAAATCTTCTTCCTTGTTGTACGTGTTCTTTGCTGACGAACTTTCTGCGTTGCAGCAACTTGTAATTTATGAGACATCTGCATCAGAACTGGATATAATTCGAGATATATCCCGCACCTTTCCGACACATGTTTTCTTTCAGCAGAGACATGGGCCTGGCCAAAGGTCCCTTTACAATGTTTTGAAGGCATACTCTGTCTTCGATAGAGCTGTTGGCTATGTCCAGGTTTGTCCTGCGTAGTTGGTGCCCCTCGTATTCATACATGTCTAGGTTAATAATGATATTGATTTTTGTCAAAATGCAGGGAATGGGGTTTTTAGCAGGTCTTTTGCTTCTTTATATGAGCGAAGAGGATGCATTTTGGTTATTGGTTGCATTACTTAAAGGAGCTGTTCATGCTCCTATGGAAGGATTGTATCAGGTATTTATTGTATTAAAACCTTTTTTTTCTATCTACGACACGGGATGAATCATTTTATGTTATTTCTGTCGGTTATTTGAAAATGTGTATGCACTGGGTAGGTCGGGCTGCCTCTTGTACAACAATACCTGTCTCAGTTTGAGCACTTGGTGAGGGAGCAATTGCCAAAGCTGGGTGAGCACTTTAGCCGTGAAATGATAAATCCAAGCATGTATGCTAGCCAGTGGTTCATAACTGTATTCTCTTACTCGTTCCCGTTTCCATTGGCTCTCCGAATTTGGGATGTATTTCTCTTCGAGGTTAGTGATTTGAAATATGGTATAGGTTCAAGCATTCGAATAAATGAAAGAACGGAAAAACGAAATAAATTTCATCTTTTGATATTCCAGGGAGTCACGATCGTCTTTAAAGTTGGTTTGGCCCTTTTGAAATACTGCCATGATGATTTGGTAAGTAGTTCAACAACAATCTTTAATTTCTTGAGGTCCAACCAATCATTTTCCTTACATTGCTACAATGTTACATTGTTCATCAGATACATTTACCCTTTGAGAAACTCATTCATGCTTTGCGCAACTTCCCGGAGGATGCAATGAATCCCAATATATTGCTGCCCATGGCTTATTCGATCAAGGTTCTGCCTCTCTCGACACAAAATTTTATGGCTTTAACTACTTTAAAATTCTTTTTATAAGATCTGCATGCATCTCTCCTGTGCGACGATGATTGGTTATTCGGATTATGTAAAGAGTTAACTTAGAAATGTTATTTTACATGCATCTGTTGATGAATGGATTTCTGCTTGATGACTTGCATATTGTATTGAATTTGCTCGATGCAAGACCTGCTAATGGTTTCTTGCAGTAAAACAAGTGACTAAAACGTTTTCGAGTTAAGTCGAGAGATTAGTAATGAATGTGCAATCATCAATGGAACTATACTTATGTTCGAGTGGTTTGCAGGTATCCCGGAGCTTATCGGAATCGAAAATCGAGTACGATAAGAAACATGGAAAGGCAAAGGCGACAATTGAAGAGTAAACAAGTACATTGAAGCAACCACTGAAACTGTACATTGTTGTCGGGGAGGAAAGGTGAACTCATCTTGTAAGAGACCAACTAGGACATCCCAATAATTAGTGCATTCATGTATTTATAGTATGATGTATCAAATAATATATTAGTATCAAATAATCTTATTAGTTAATTAATCGATCGAATTAGAATGATTATATCGAGAAAATAATGTTATTAGTACCAACTAGTTGTTTCATAAATTTATAATAATTTTTTTTGATAAAAAATTAAACAAAAATAATAATATCATGACAAATTAAATAAATAAATACATATTTTTTACTTACATAAGCAAAAGGAAAGTCACACATCTAGTTGTTTCATGTATAACGGTCGACGGGTCGAGTGACTAATAAAATAAATTCATAAAGTATAATATTATAATTACAATTTTTATGATAAAATATATAGATGTTCACGTGATTATAGAGTATTATTTTGTTGAGTTCTTGATTATCAAAAGTTATAAAGTAATTATCTCTCTATTATCAAAAGTTACAAAGTAATTCATTGACTAAAGGTTGTTGATTTATTAAGTATATTGACTATTAAAAGTTATAAAATAGTAACCTGACTATTTATATTTTTTAAACCCATATTTTTCTGTTAAAAAATTGACGGTCGTATGAGTTTGACATTAATCTATTGACTGATATATGATAAAATTTGATCTCAAAATCATTTGAGTTGTCTAATATTTTGAGATTACGATATCATATTTTATCATATTACAATATATAAGTTAACATCCATCTTAGTTTACCGTCAATTTTTTAACGGAGATAGATGAGTTTGAAACATATCAATAATCAATTGACCATTTTATAACTTTTAATACTTGAAGACTAAAAAAATTAATTTCCTATAGTCAGAAAATCACTTTATAACTTTTAATAGTCAGATGACTCAATAAAACATCTTATGGTTAAAGGACTATTTCTGTACTTTACCCAATTTTTATCATTGAAAGACCAAAAAAAATATTATTAAACTTTAGTGACTAATACCACAATTTACCCTAAAATTTAAAATTTTAATTAAATTGAAAAATTAAATTGCTTTTGCCAATGATAATCTATTTTTAGCAAACTGAGTGTGTCATTATTACTATTGAAATAAGTGAAGGGTCATTTTCAGGTGGGGAAGAGAGCCGAAATCAATGAAAAGACTAGGGAGAGATCCCTATACATATCATATTCTTAATTTTATATTAGGAATAATAACACGAATGACCCTTGAACTATATAATCATTCAATATGGTATTTATATTTTAAAAATGTCGATTTTTTGTACCTGTAGTTTCATTCTGTCTCTTAAAGTTGTACTTGTTCGTAACACCATTAAATAGAAAGTGATGCAACACATCAAATCAATCATAACTTTGACACATAATATAATGAGTAAATTACAAATCTCCTCACTAAACTTTACTCTCTTATTTTGATCACTAAACTTTAAAAATTTGTAATTTTCTCACTGAACTTAATACATTAAATTTTTTTATCACTTCTCTGTTAAATAATTAACGGCGTTAAAACGACGTCATTTTTAAAAAAAATAAAATTTTCACCAAACGACATCGTTTTGCATTTATATGAAAGCTTGGTTATAACGTCGTTAGTGAGGAAACGCCAAGTGATAAAAAAATTCAATGTATTAAGTTTCGTAAGAAAATTAAAAAAATTAAAGTATAATAGTGAAATAGAATAGAGAGTAAAGTTCATATACCAAATTTGTAATTTACCCTAATATAATTAATGATGTGTGTGATGTTAAGTGTCAAACACTAATTGAAGAAGTGTGTTAAATAATTCATACTTAACAATATTAATGACTTGTATTACTTTAATAGAAGAAATGAAACTTCATATACCAAAATCACCATTTTTTTAAATGTGCATACCACATTGAAAAAAAAAATTACAGAGGGGGTATTGGGCTATTATCCCTCCATGTTATACTTGGATTTTATTAAGCTTTCCTTCTTACAATATTGATTTATACTTTATACTATTGATTTTTTTTAAAGAAAAAATACTTTATCATTAATCATTAGTATATTTTATATTGAATTATGATTATTGGGGGGTGAGTCACCATTGACGAGTCGGGTGAGTTATCATTGATGAGTCTTTCTTATCCACTAAAGCTTCCAACTTGCCCAAATTTCGATCCCCTTCCATGATATATCCTTATTGGACCCCCTCATTCATTTACTAATTTGCCCACATTATTATTAAAGGCGATGTTATGAAATTCATGGATGATTTTTATTGGGGAAGAATTGAAGATTACTCGTTCAATAAGTCGTTTATTGCTCTTATTCCAAAGAAAACTGATGCATTGTTCCTTGAAGATTTTCGACCAATCTCCTTGGTGGGCAGCATGTATAAGATTATGTCTCGGGTTTTGGCTAAAAGGATGGCTTCGTGTGTTAGTGATGTGATTGGTGAAAATCAGTTCGCTTTCATTGCTGGAAAGCAGATTTCAGATTGCAGCTTAATCGCTAATGAAGTTATTGACGAACTGGTAAAAAGGAAGAAAGAAGCTATTTTGTTCAAAGCTGACTTTAGTAAAGCGTTCGATACTGTGGACTGGAATTTTCTAAATCCGATCCTAAAGAAAATGGGTTTTGGGAGAATATGGAGGAAATGAGTTAATGTTTGCATTTCGAGTCCTTCGATAGTTGTGTTAGTTAATGGTTGTCCATCTTCCTCTTTTTCTATTAAAAGGGGTCTGCGACAAGGCTGTTCGTTGTCGCCGTTTCTTTTTAATATTGTGGGAGAGGCGCTTAGTGGGTTGATAAGGAAAGCGGTAGACATTGGTTTGTGTGACAGAGTTACAGTGGGAGAAGGTAGAGTTGACATGTCTCATATTCAATTTGCAGATGATCTCCTGATTTTTTCGGATGCTAATGGTATGGGGATTCAAAATCTCAATCGGATACTAAAATTTTTTGAAGTAGCTGCGGGTTTAAAGCTGAATAAAATGAAGACAAAGATTTTTGGTATTAATGTGGATGGTAACACAGTTAAAAGGTGGGCTGATTCGATCTATTGTGGGTGGGCAGAGTTGCCAACTTCGTATTTGGGTCTTCCTCTTGGTCACAAAAAGAATTCCTTACCATTGTGGCAGCCTATTCTGGATAGAGTCAGAAATCGTTTGGACAGCTGGAAAAGTAAATTTCTTTATTTTGGGGGTAGACTAACTTTGGCTAAATCAGTCTTGGTTAATTTACCTGTGTATTATATGTCAATTTTCCAAATTCCCAAGTCTATAGCCGAGAAAATCAACAAATGTATTGCGAATTTTGTTTGGAATGGTAAGAAAGAGAGAGGAATTCATTGGCTAAAATGGGAGAATATTTGCGGGCCTAAATCTCATGGTGGTTTGGGTTTATTTGATGTGAACTCTAGGAATCGAGCATTATTAAATAAATGGATTTGGAGATTTAGTGAGGAAGGTGGTAGTTTATGGAGGAATATCATTGTTGCTAAGAATAAGTATGATCATAATTCGATTCTTCCAAAAGCTGTGAATGGTAGGAATTCGTCATGGGTTTGGCGCACCATTGTTAATCCGACAGTGGCTAATGAGACTGGTTTTATGTCAGAAGTTCGTTGCATGATGGGTAATGGCTTAAATATTGAGTTCTGGACAGATTACTGGACGGATATGCCTTGTTTAAAAGATTCCTTTCCTAGAGTGTACGGGTTGGCCATTAAAAAAACCGGTAAAATAAGTGAGTTCGGCCATTGGGTGTCGGGAGTTTGGGAATGTAATATTGAAATTAGAAGACCATTGTTTGCTTGGGAAGGGACTTTGTGGGATGATTTTATCCAAGTTTTGAATAGAGCGGTAAGTTTAGTTCAAGGTGTGGATAGATTAAAATGGTTAAGCTCTCATGATGGCATTTATAGTCCAAAAATTTTTTGTACTAAGCTAGCTTGTGTTGGCAAAACAGAAGATTCAATTTGGAAATTGGTGTGGAGTAATTTTATCCCTCCTAGAGTCTCGGCGTTCGTCTGGAAAGCTGTCCATCAACGTTTACCGGTTTCCTCAGAGCTGGAAAAAAGAGGCGTCAACTGTTTAAATCATCCATTGTGTATTTTGTGTAATCGAGAGAAGGAAACAATTTACCATGTTTTGTGTCAATGTGACGTGGTTTGGCAAGTGTGGCAAAGATGGAGTAGTTTGTGGAAGGTTAACCTTGTGTTTCCTAAGGATATTAAAGGATTGTTATAGGTATGGTTCAATCAATCCATTAGAAAAAAAGTTAGACCTCTTTGGCAAGTGGGATTTTTTGGTATAATCTGGAAAATATGGTTGAGTAGAAATAAAACAAGGTTCAATGGTCGTTCCTTTTCAGTGGATCAAATTTTTAATATGGCCTTGCTGCAGATCGGTATATGGGTAAATTATCAATGGCCATCGCTAATCCCAGTCGTTCAAGATTTTATTCGCAGTCCTGAATCTTTTATTATTGGTTACTGGGAGTGAGTTTGTGTCGATTTTGGAGACTTTGTTGGCTTTGTCTTGCTGTTTTTATAGGGCTGTTTTGGTTCTGGCGTATGTTTATGGAATCTAATATGTTAGCTTACTTTGTGGTTATGTTTCCTAATGTATAAAGCTACTGCCAGGAAGATTGGATAGCAATAGTGTTTATTGACAAGTTTAGAACTATGCTTTTGCTTGTTCTTGGATTCCAGGTACTTGTTAGTCGTAGGGTGGGTTTTTATTTTCAGGATGTGTTGTTTATTTTGTGTACTCTATTTGTTGTTACCTATTACCTCAAGGCACACTCTTTTTCCTCCATTTAAGATTAGGGAGGTTTTTTAATGAGGTCCCTGATATGGTCTACTTTGTAAACTTCTATAATACAAAGTACCTTATTTAAAAAAAAAACGATTAGTACAATTTAGTACAATATGGTGGGTTAATTATTAATTATTTGATATTAAATATTTATATTTTTTTATTTATGGTGTTTAAATTTATTTCTTCAAAATAATTTTTTTCATTAAAATCGCTTAAGTTATGATCTCGAGACTCTGAATTCAAATCAACTGATCGAGAGGGTGCTGGCTTGTTTCAAACCGTTTGAGTTCTCCGTATCCATACACGTTAACGTGAATGGAGATGACCTTGGGCGTGGAATCCCATGTCCCGTGACTGGATACCGTTGCGAAGAGGCTCGGGAATGGCGGTTTGATCGTTTACTACAGCTTTGCCGGTGCTGATATGTGTTTGTCTCCTGGGTCAATTCAGAAATGGTGCAGGTGGAGTGAGGATGAGGAGAAGGATAAGCAAGTTGTTGGGGGTGAGGCCTGTCCCGTACCATTTGAGTGCTCTATGAGCTTTGGAATCAATCTGTATCTGGAAAAGGGAATTGCAGTGGGTTGAAGGAAGGAGCAGAAGGATAAGGATGTTGAACTATTTTAATATTTCTCCATCTTTCTATAAATATTTGTGTGTTGTTTTGTCTTGAATAAATGTATTTCTGCCTGTGATTTTGAGTGCCAAAAATTTGTAGAACATTGTGCAGTTGTTTCTACAGCTTTTGTTGTGCTCAAACCTTCTATATACGTCGGTAAGTGGAGACCTTTATGAATATGAACCATCCCTTTTCCAACCCGAGATATCTAATCATTGAGATCAACGATTTTTAATTATTGTAGATGAAATGACCGATGACGTCAAGGTCGACGAGTTCGTTCATTGACTTCTTAACAGTTGACGTAACAACAACAACAATAAAATCTCATTCTCATATATAATATTTTATTCTCATATACAATAGGTAAAGAGGAGGTAGGACAGTAAGTTGCCCCCAACGTTAGGATTGAGAGCAATTTCCGTGAAAGACATCTGACAGGAAGAAAATTAAAAATAAAAATAAAATAAAATACATGTATAAATAAATAAATAACTAAATAAATACATAGTTGAAAAGTCTTCCTATGTAATCTTAATGGCTGATGAGTTTGTCTATTTACTTTTTAATAGTGAATATTAAAATAAAACAAAAATTAACAATAAACACTGAAATGAAACAAATTTAATAAAACAAAAATTAAATGTTAAAATAAGATCTATTCGAAGTTTTAAAATCAAATAACGATAGAATTTCATAAAAACTATGGTTTATATGTATATGTATATATATAAACCCAAAATAATTTTGGTGTCGGTTCATTGTTGATTAATAAGAGGAAACCACATCCACACGTAAGCTTTTGTTTACAAAGGACAAGAAAACAAAGGAAAACCGAGGGACTGAAGCTTCCTTTAGCTATCTTTTCTCTGTACTCTCTCGGCTATGCAGTTTTCTCAAAATGGGCTTGTGGGATTCCCTTCTCAATTGGCTCCGCAGGTAATTCTCCCATACAATATTAAGAGATTGGGGAAATTGTTGATTCTTCTATAAACGATTACGGTTTGATTTCGATATTAATTCTGTAAGACTGGGTTTTAATTGTGTTTTGCTGCTGGGGAAATTAGTGGAATTTCAATGAACTTTACATTTCTTGCGTTGGACTTAAGGCTTGATTTTAGATTTGTAAAAGAATGCTGCAAAATGTTCAGTATTCACATGGATCGTTTCAAATATATCCTTTGTTCGACATGATAGTAGTGGGAAGTATGGTCAATGTTTGATCTCTCTTTTCTAATACCGTTGAAGGTATTATTGGCATGAGTTCATCTATTCTTTGAGATTCTGCATTTTCATTGTTTCAGAGGTGTAATGGTGTATACCCTTTAGTCAAAGAGAGGCAATGTAGTAGGCTTCTTAGTTAAATCGATTATTTTTGGTCATACGGAGCGGCTCTTTTGGAATTATCGAGTAGTGATGTTAGTGGTAACTTTAAACCAATATTGTACCAAACTGGTTTTGCTTTATTTCTCTGGGTTTTAATAGTTGTATATTATTCGAGTTTTGGTCATTCGATTACCATTGTCCTGGAATAGGTCGTTCCGTCTAGCTTGCTTCTTCCATCCAGGTAGTCAATCTGTAAGATCATCATAGACACCAAATTTCGTCGTATAGTTTGTTCTGAGAACCTGAGGTAATAGTTAGTGTGAAGATATGTTTTTAAGCACTCCTGTGCTTATTTCTGAGTATCTACATTGCAGCTTATTCTTCAAGCAGGAAATGGAACTATCCCTTATTGGTCTTCAGAATGCCGGAAAAATGTCTCTTGTTAACTCCATTGCTGTGAGTAACGCAATTTTTTTCCTGCTCATACATATAAGCATTGGTAATGACTTTGTCTAATGTTTAATTTTCTTTTGTTTACCAGACAGGGGACTATAGTGAAGACATGATTCCCTCCGTAGGTACCTTTTATTTGGACAAATCAATATAATGATTCTCCCTGATGATACCTTAAAAGAAAATCATCGAATGTGGAATCCAGGTTGGATTTAATATGAAAGGTTACGATGGAAACGTGACGATAAAACTATGGGATCTTGGAGGGCAACGGAGGTTCCGTACCATGTGGGAACGTTACTGTCGTGGGGTCTCTGCTATCGTGCAAGACTTTCTTTCTCATACTCTATTAACTTACGGTATATCGTTAGCTTTAATCATCTTCATTTACTGGTTAAGATGATCTACTTCTTGTGAGAACTTTTAACCCATATCATATTATTAGCATCTTTTTTTATATACTTAATTCTTCATATAATATAATGGCAGATATGTAGTTGATGCTGCTGATAGAGACAGTGTTCCAATATCCCGAACCGAGTTACACGACCTCTTGACAAAACCTTCCTTCATTGGGATTCCTTTACTTGTTCTTGGTAACAAAACCGATAAGTCAGAAGTTCTTTCGAAGCAACTTTGGTTGATCAGCTGTAAGTTTTAGAAGCTTTACGTTAAGTCATATTTGTTTTCTCTTCTTTGATGATTTACCTCGAGAAAACTCATTTCTCTGTTCTTTACGAGAATCTGAAAACGTGTTATTATTTTTGTTTGATATCTGTTTCATAGAGGTCTCGGATCAATCAGTGATAGAGAGGTGTGCTGCTACATGATTTCATGCAAAGATTCCGTAAATCTGGATGTCGTCATTGACTGGCTGATCAAGCACTCGAGAACTGCCGAATAAGCAGTGGCGCCAATGCCTCTCCTACTTCATATCCTTGCAGGTGAAGGAAGGACCAAGCACACATGTGTCCAAGTTGAAATTCTGGTAAGACTTTTCATCGAATTTCCTTCGATTTATGGTTTTGTGTGATCGAAATGAGTTTTTCATGAACTGCTCGAAAGAACTTAGGCGTAGCTCCAAAGAAGTGTGTCGTATATATCATTGGAACTATCAATTAGTGCATATTTAGGGGCATCTATCTTCTATAGTGTATTTTGAAGATCATGCTCCCATACTCGTCTGAAAATGTGTTAGATATGTGTGTCGGACACGACGATTTCGAGAAAAACGAAAAGTTCGAGAAACATTATGACTTCCATTTTGATGGTAATCAGTAAGGTTTGAGTGTTTGGTTAGGCTGTTTAGTTTTGGTTTATAGCCATTGATATATGTAAAATATGAAGTTTCTAAAACCAATGATAGTGTAAGGGCTTGTTGAATTTATATGAAAATAAACAGATAGCATAAGTCAATGTTTCATTTGAAATCGAAGGAAATGGCTTATTTAGGCATTAAAAAACGTACAAGGGCTTATTTGAATGAGATAATAAATTTAAAGGGCTTTCCTAATCTTTTACCCAAAAAAGGTTTTGTTTTTGCCATTTCCACCCGCCACCTTTCTTAGGAAAGCATGAAAAATGACGATGACAAGAAGCCCATTACCAGCAAATATTCCCGGCGCCACTCATCACTGGCGGCCCAGACTTTTGTACACCACGTTCTTGTCTTCGACCCCGAGGAACATGGCGTATTTGACGTAGAAGGCCTGCAGCCTCACCGCGCCACCGCATGCGGTGGTGTAATAAGAGCCGACTTTGGTCGCCGCACGGATGACGCTGGTGGCGGAGTCGGGCATGGAGAGGTCATTGCGGCATTGGTAAAGGCCGTAGGCAATGTCTCCAGGACCGGAGCCCTTGATCGCAGCTGTTGTAGGAGGAGTAATTGGCTGAGTTGAGGAGGGAAGTTAGTAGCGAGTTAAGGTTGGATTGGAAAGGTGAGTTGGGTAACCTCCGAAGACGAATGAATCTGTTGATGAAGAAAGTGCTGTTTGGATAGCAAGAAAGTTGCCATTATCAGACATGCTTACACATACTATTGCAAATAAATAATTATCATAAATTTTAATTCTTTTTATTATTTAATAATAAAATGTAAATGATTAAAATTTGATGCAAAACGCAAAACGTAAAATATATTACGATAAAAATTAAATTAATTTGTTACTAAGTGATCGTTATTTTAATTTGTAATTTTTATAATTAATCTTTGATTTATTATGTTTTTACACAAATTATTCAATATAATTTTCTATTATTTTTAATTTATATATATATTTAGTAAAATGTATGCACAAGTAACTTAATATATATATTTAATTTCTTTGATGATACAAAAACTTTCTTAACCAATATAATTATGTGTTTATTGTTTAGTACAAAGTTATTGGGAGATGTACATATTTACATCGGTGTAAGTATATGTTAAGTGTTACATTTTTTTAATATGAAATATGAAAATTTTGACAAATAATTATAATAGGTTAACCATAAGTTAACCTATATCCGAACCATTAATAAACGGTTAATTACTTCTTAACAGTAAGGTTATAATTAAAAAAATCTCATAACCGTTATAACAGTTAACTGATGATTTATGCTAAACAATACAGTTAACCGTCTATAAACAACCTTAAATGTCAACTAATTAAATTTCTTAAAAATAAGAAAATAGTCTCGGATTCGAATATCAGGAAATTCATAGATGCGAGAGTTCAATATAAAATAATTAAGAGTTATCTTTAGACATATAATATATTTTACTCATCAAAATTAATAAAAAAAAAAGTAATAAAAAATTCTTTTCACGCGCGTTTTCTTTGAGAAAAAAAAACGAACACTTTATCTTGTCACACGCGTTTGCATTCTATTTTCAAATTTTTAAAATAAGTGTTTATTATTCTGTCCAATCATCATAAGTAATTTAAGATTTTTTTTTTAAATTTATTTAATAATCAATTAAATTTTAAGTAATATATGAAAGTTAATTATGGTGAATAAGGAAAATGAATGTTGTGTAAATAAAAATAAAAATTGATTTTTATATGAAATTATTATTTTTTGTTTATAATTAACGTAAGATTAAATAGATTACAATAAATGAAACTTATTTTTTTTAAATTCATCATTTAAAAATATTTTTAAACAAATAATTTTTTAGTAATAACACATTTATATAATAATAATAAATAAAAAACTAATAAAACATTTTAGGTCGGTGAATTTAAATCCATGATTAGGTATCTATAATTATACATTAGGGGGCGTATATAAATAGTGTTTGAGGGTAATTTAAAGAAACAAACGCCAAAAATCCTATCTGGCTTCGCCCCAGCCTCTTTCTTGCGTTCCAAGTTTCAAATATAGCGATAGATTAAAGAAGGTAATCCCTGAAACCCTGAACTTAACGTAAAGATTTACGCTCTAGTATTGAGATTTTGAGATTATCATTCTCGCAGTAATCGATTTTCTGTTTTCCGATACCATTCTTAGTTGATCTCTTCGTTTCACTCGCTTTCTGTTTACTTCGCCGACAAGGAGAGTCTTTTTCAAAAGTGTAGCTGTTTAGTGGAGGTAGGTTTTTGCAACCCTGATTATCATTGGCGTTTTTAGGGTTTTGATTGGGTTTCTATGTTGTGTCGGTTTGGTCTCATTGTATCAATTAATTTTGAATTACCGATAATGAGTTGTCTTCTTTATAAAGTTGTTAACTGTAATCTAGATTTTTTTTTGAATAACCAATTATGTTTTGTTTGTGATAATCTGAAATTGATTGAATGAATATCTGATGTTTTGATGATAATGTTTCTGTATAGAATTCTAACTGGATTAAGGAGTTCTCCAACTTGGGTATGGTGCCTGTTGGGAGCAAGATGGTTTGTTCAACTGTTACTAAAGTACGGCTTGGCACGGAATCAATGACCGCTTCAACTAATGTTCCGAACTTGCAGTTTCGAAGACCATTAGAAGCTGAATCTAGATGTCATTTCACTGGAAACAATCGGCCTTTCCGTCCCGTAAATGAACAAGCTGCGTCTCATGGTCATCTTCCTCGGCTCCCTTTTAGTGGACGAAATAAATCTTTCTGTCCCTTGAACGAACAAGCTGTGTCTCATGGTCATCTTCCTCGGCTCCCTTTCACCGGTCAAAAACAATCTTTCTGTCCCATAAATGAACAAGCTGCAACTCATGGTCATCTTCCTCAGCTCCCTTTCGCCAATAGATTTTATCCTGATATTGAACATGTAAAAAGAGGTCTGCTAAGATTTTCGGGTAAAGGAGATTCTGGTCAACCCATATGTGGTAGTTCAGAAGTCATTGAACCTTTGCCAAAGCGTTTGAAGCTGGAAAATCCTACCTCTCCCTGCTTGCCTTACAGTGGTATGTTTTATGCGATGGCTCCATTGAAGGGTCAACAAAGTTTTTCCAACCTTCCACCCTTGGTGCAGTCGCCAGAGCTTCTTGAATCTTCTAATTCTGAGATTATGGAGGTGAAGACCGAATCGTTACCAAAGTTTATAGAAAAGTCCACAGGTGATAAAGAGATCGGTGAGGATTTGGAGGAGGTGAACACCAAATGGATATCAAAGCTTATGGAAGATTCTTCAAGTGCTGAAGAGATGGACAAGGATGTAGTAGACAGTTTTACTATATCGGCTACAGAGCGTTTTCCTGGTACTCCAGAGGCGGTTAACGCTAGTTATGAAGTAGCAGAAACTGATGTAGTTGGGAATAATAAAGAAGAGGATATCGACTTTGTAAATGGTACTGATAATTCAGATGATGAAAGAGATCACTTCAACAAAATGGAAACGAAGTTTGAGAGTCAAAACCAAAGAGGTGTTTCCTTGATAGAAAATTTCACAGCAAAGCAAATAAAGGAGCATATATCAACTCTCAGAAAGTGCATTGATAAGGTTTGTTCTTTCATTGTTGTTTATTGCTTATATTGTGCTGTGCTGTTTAGCGAATATCCTAGTTTATTCATCTACTTAAAATTGCTGTTCATGAAGGTGCATTTACAGTCTTCTCTTATTAAAATAGGATCTTGGAAAGAAAGAAAGGGAAAACGGAAACGGAATCAGCAACGTTGAAAGTAATGATCCGTGCCAGTTGTGTGGAGAGGCTAAGCTTTCACTTTCTCCTGCACCGATATATTGCTCGTCATGTTGTGTCCGTATCAGACGCGATGCAATGTATTATAGCATACCTGAAGTGATACCTGAAGCAAATGGCATCAACCATTATCTTTGTTCCGCATGCTATAAGGCATCTCGGTCTCAGAGTATCACAGCTTCTGGGATATCTGTTTCGAAGTCAAAGCTAATTAAAATAAAGAATGACGAGGAACCAGAAGAATGGGTAGGTTATCCATCCAGGGTATTTAATATTTCTCAATAGTCCTGAAGTTTCAAACTGAAAGACTCACTTCCTAATGTTTTCTTGCAGTGGGTTCAGTGTGATAAATGTAAATGTTGGCAACACCAGATATGTGCTCTCTTTAATGAGAAAAAGAATAAGGAAGGAAAAGATTTTGTCTGCCCAAAATGCTGCTTAAAAGAAATTGAAAACGGAGAACGGATGCCCCCACCAGTGAGTACTGTTTCCGGTGCAAAAGATCTGCCGCGAACCAGACTCAGTGATCACTTAGAGCAAAGACTGTCTAGGTGTCTTCAGAAAAACAGGCAAGAGAAGGCAAGGGCTACAGGAATGAGCATTGATGAGGTAAGATTGCACGTTTCAGTGTAATGTTCTCATTTTTGTAGAACCATTCTTTGATTCACAATGCTATTTGTACTTAGTTTAGCTGTTTCGTTGATTGTTTAATGTTCTATTGTTCAATAGGTTCCTGAAGTAGAAGGTCTTATTATCAGGGAGGTTTTATCTGTTCAGAAACATGTAAAAGTGAATGAGCAGCTTCTAGATATACTTAATGATCAGAATTACCCTGCTGAATTTCCATACAAGTCAAAGGTAAGATTTCTTTGGAAATTATTAAATGTTTTGAAGGTAGTTAGGTATTCCCAAATTGTAACATGCCTCTTTTGGTATCAATCTCTAGATTTATTTCATTTTCACTGAACCATGAGAATTGGTTTTCCATTTTCAGGTTATTCTTTTATTTCAGAATATTGAAGGGGCAGATGTATGCCTTTTTATCATGTATGTCCAAGAGTATGGCGCAGAATGCGGTCAACCAAATCAACGCAGCGTGTATATCTCGTACCTTGATTCTGTTAAGTATTTTAGGCCCGAAACAGAAATTGCTGCCAGCGGAGAAGCTCTTCGAACTGTTGTTTATCACGAAATATTGGTATATCATATAATTTCCTGCTCCGATTATTATAGCTTTTCAAATCACATTGGTTGCTATAGTTGGATCACTGAGATCATTTCTTGTTTTCGTGTTGTGTTTCCGTTTTTAGGTAGGATACCTCGACTACTGCAAGAAAAGGGGATTTGCAACCTGTTACATATGGGCCTGTCCGCCAAGGAAAGGAGAAGATTATATATTGTATTGCCACCCAAAGAGTCAGAAAATACCGAAGCCTGATAAGCTGCGGCAGTGGTATGTCTCTCCCTCTCTCTCACACACGCTAATCTCGTATATATGTCTGCGTGCAGTGTTGTGTCTGTTTGGATTTCTATCCTTGTTGCATACACATCTTGACTAGCAGCATTCTGCAAGTGCAGGCATAAAACCACGCTAAAAAAGGCTTCTAAATCTGGCATAGTGGTCGATGTGACGAACTTATATGATCAACTTTTCTCCACTGGGAAATACAACACCAAGGTGACAGCAGCTCATTTGCCATATTTTGATGGTGACTATTGGTCTGGTGCTGCCAACGATGTGATAGAACAAATCAAGAAAGACTCAAAAACTATGAGCATGAAAACTATGTCAAAGAGAACATTGCAATCCATGGGACACGCAAATCCATCTGGTCATGCAATTAAGGATATTCTGCTGATGCAGAAGGTAAAAATTTACAAACCATACTATTTTAAATCTGTTTAGTCTAGCTTTCTATTGAATTCCTTTTTTATGCAACTATGATGGTCACTAAATATATTATTTCATTTCTTCCTGCTTTGGCAGCTGGGCCAAAATATATTACCTATGAAGGAGGATTTCATCATCGCTCACCTGCAGTTCGTCTGTGTATGCTGCCATAGAGCCATTTTAGATGGATGCCGCTGGTCTTGCCATCTGTGTAAAAGCTTTCAGCTTTGTGGAAGGTAATTTGTCATTGTTTATGCATTTTTCTTTTGTTTTCTCTGGTTTGCACTATGTTTCCTCCTCGGTATTCATCGCGCTACACACTTCATGTCGTCTTCCAGGTGCCATGATGCAAAACAAAGAACCTACAACGATTCCACTCACACTTTATCGAATGGTGAAAAACATTCACTCCATCGGGTAAGTTCTTAGGTCCTACAGTTTCAACCGTTTCGTTACCTTTATCATGAAGAGGTTGGAGTATTTATGCACATCTATCTTTTTTCCAGAACATGGTGGATGATGTTCTTTCTGATACTGATGGTAAAGATGTCTGCATGGATAATGGTCTATTTGAAGATAGGTACAAGTTTTTGTTCTTCTGTCAGAAGAACAACTATCAGTTCGACACGCTTCGTCGGGCCAAGCATACCTCGATGATGATCCTATATTACCTTCACAATCCGGAGGCGTTGCTTGCTACCACCAACTGCTGTATTTGTAACAAGGACACACCAATAGACCAGTGCTGGCACTGTGAGACCTGTTCTGAATTTTTTGTCTGTGCTGCATGCTATCAACGAGACGGTTGTTCCTCGCACACTCATAAGTTGACTCCTCATTCTTCCGCCATTGATTCTTCGTCTGAGAACAGAGAGATCACGAAGACCGATAAATTATCTGTACGAAGATACCGTCCATTTTTAAAACAGTTGATCCACATGAATGTTAATTAACTTGAAATATTATCTGATTGAACAGGAAGCACTGGAACTCTTGCTACATGCCACTCGTTGTCCCTCGCTCTGCTCCGACTCCAATTGCCGTCTCATGAAAAGGCTATTCTTCCATTCAAAAATCTGCACCGTTAGGGCAGCCGGAGGTTGTAGACACTGTAAGAAGACATGGCTTATACTGAAACTGCACTCGACAAATTGCGAAGAATCCCACTGCGCCGTGCCACGGTGCAGGTATGACACAGCTGTACAACCTTTTCCGAAAGCTTCTTTATCACTTGAAACAAATCAAAAACTCTTTCCCCGGAAAAATGATTTTCATTTTTTTTGTTTAAATTCATTAGGGACTTAAAGCTGCATGCAAAAGCTTTGGCACAGAGGGATGCAGCTCTTTGAAGAAGCTGGGAAAGGCTCCTGGCAATCAAGATTTGCTAATTTGTACATTAAGAACAAACTCCACAAATATTTGATGCATGGATAATGTATATACCTATACACCGCAATTAAATAATAATTTTCTATTTGAACATAAAATCACGTGTATCATGCAATGTACAAAATATAACGTACCGTTTCCCTTTTCTTACGTTTAATAATGGAGTATTAGTAGTATATTGAAGACTGCTTTGACTGTTCATTCATGGTTGCACCGTCATTCAATGCACCCCAAAAACCCATGTGCCAAATTTCACCGTCCACCAACTTTCCCACTTTTTCCCATCGATTCCTCCACTTTCTTCCTCCCCAATCACACACTACTAAAAGCACAAAAGATATTAAGAGCCAATGGCTGCCTCAAGTTCTGCTTTAAGCTACACCATCTCTTCTGGGTAACCCCATATCTTCTCTGCTTCATCCATCAAACTCATCTTTAACTCAAACTCAAAAGCTTTCCACATCAAAGTGCGGCACTTTCTCAGCTCCCAAACGAGCTTTCACTTGCAAAAGCCAGGCTCTTGCATCTGATAACTCAATTCCCGGTAATCATTTCCCTTCTTTTCCCAGTTTTGATTGAAACCCACCAGTTTTCTACTTTCATATTTTCAATTTGAATTGTCTCTTTGGGTTGATCTTTTGTTGATTCAAACTTATTTTCTGGGTTTTGTTTTGTTGCGGAGAAAGTCCATGAATTGCATTTTTATGAGATGAATGAGAGAGATCGTGGGAGTCCAGTTTATCTTCATTTAAGCATAAATCTGTTAACTCACTTGGCCATCTTGTCCCTTTTAGCAACAAAGTAACCCAAGATAATCCGTCGCACCATGCAACATATCATTAAAATGACATACAAATAGATACAAGTAAATATCTTTAGATATCTATTATCCATATCCAATTTTAAATTTTTAACAAATTTATATTTGAGTTTGTATTTTTTTATAAATGATTTGGATTTAAATATTTAATATATTATTTGAAATTTTTGAATTTAATTTGTTATGAACGCATATATTTAACAAATAGTGCATTTCAATTATAGAGTGATCCCCCTAGCTAATAGAATTTTGTGCTTGGTAACTCGGGTTAAGCAACATAATTTATATGAGTTTAAATATATAGTGCAATTCATTCATTCATTAATGAAAAAAATTCTCCAAAAAATCAACTAAAAAACCTCTAATTAACAACACAACATTCATGAAACTATCTTCTACGTACTAACAATTTCTCTTCTCAGTCATACCCCTCTTTCTAGTACACTGAATTTCCCGAACTGCCAATCGGAGCACGACAGATTGGACAACACATCTCGTCAAACAGCCATCCATCGACACAAAACTGATGATACAGATGGTTGCACTTCGTTAGAAGCCTACAAGAATCTCCTTCTTTAAACTCCTCCAAACATATGACACACTCGGTGCAGTACGATCTGGTTTCCTCGAGATTCTTGTATCGAACGATGATCGCGGTAATCTTTTCCGACCTTAGAAACCCTGCCGGCCTTATGAGAACTCTCCATAAGAACTTGAATAAACAAAATAGTGCAGTAAGCACCATAATCAGATCGAATACGAGCACGATGATATCAATCTTTAATGCTACCATGGTGATACTCAAAGATCGAGAGATGAGGATGGAATTTGATAATTTTTGATGAATGCTATGCATAACATTAAGATAATACGCTTTAATAGGATAGCTTATTCTAGAAGTTTAAACTAAATAAAAACCCTAAAACTCTTGGATATTGATTTAAATTTCAGTTTATAACTAAGTTGAGTTTCATCATAATTCTATTATTTGCTAATTGAATTTATCTAATAATTAAATATTTATTTTAGGTGAAAAAAATTATGAAATTAGGTTTCGTGTGATCGAGATACAAGTGATTTCATGTATTTATTTTCTAGATAATTTCTACATGAATAGAAAATTATTTATTCGCTTATTTGTAGAGATAAACGAGTCCAAAACACTTTAAATCTCATCTTTTACGTGTATCTTATTTCCACGTTAATCTTATATTATTTATTATTTATATACGAATTTATAATAACCTTAAATCAACATTTTACTCCAATAGGGTTATTTTAAAATTTAGTTTTAGTATTATTATTGAACTAATAGGTGGTATATTAATGGGGTATAATTCTATTCATTATAATGAATTATACAATGCCACGTGCTATTAAATTTTAGAATTATATTTATTTGAATTAATTTGTGATAATATATATTATCACCTAGTTTAATAATAATATATATAATTTAAAATTAAATTCATTTATATATATATGGGCATGATCCGTTGACATTACGTAAAACTAATAAATTTTACTATATTTATAATAATTAGATTTATATAAATAAATGATTTAAATTTAGTTAAAACTTATAACAATATCTCTTTATAAATCCTAAATTTTAAACCTCAAAATTTATACCCTAAATCCTAAACATTAAACCACGAATCTTAAACCTTAAACCCTAAACCTTAAAAAGAAAAAAACTATTATTTTATTGTGAGTTAAAATATATTTATTTAAATCTAATAATAACTAAAAATTAATATATAATTTACTAATTTTACATGGTATAAATAGATCATAACCCATATATATTCATACTTATATAAGGACTTGTACGTTATTTAAAAATAAATTTTTTACTCTAAAAAGTGTTTTTGTTGTTTTAAGTTAAATAAATATTATTTACTCAAAATAAAGTAAAGTAACACAATACAATACAATGCCCATTGTGCAAGTACATGACCGGCAACATTTGCCGGATTCACAGTATTATGATACAATAATTTATATGAAGAGACAATTTTTTTTAATTTCAAAGAAAAGTGGAAATAAATTATCAATTAAAAAGTATTTGATAATTTAAAATTTTGCCTAGTATGTTTTCATTTGAGTTTGTCTCTACCCACCATAAAACTTTTTTTTACTAAATATTTATTTTACTGATATTCTAAAATTTTATTTATATTTATCTAGTGATGAGTGTGTGTTCTCTGTCCATCCTAAAATTTGATTTTTTTTATTTTAATTATCAATTTTACTAATGGTATTCATCTTGGAATTTTATTTATGTTTGTCTTGTACAAAAAATTATATTCTATATTTTACTTATCATTAAAAGTATTTTTAAATATGTGATTATACTCACTTATTTTAAAAATTTATATGGTTAGTGTGTATATATATATATATATGCATAAAATCATGTTACATAATATAAAACTTTTTTAGTTTCACATAAATTTAGGAGCGTTGAATGAGTAAAAACATATGATTGAAATTAAAAGTACGAAATGTGAAGATATTTACTGGAAAAAAAAACAAAGAGTCAATCTCAGTAATCTATTTTCACTCATCCAACGATCCTAAATCTGTGTAAAACTAAAGAGCTTTTCATTGTGTAAGTGGATCCTAACCCATATATATTTAGGGTTGGAGCTCTCTTGGGGCCCAAAGGGGTCCCGACCCATATAAACTTTTTTATGTTAGATTGATTTTGATCTAATATTATTTTAATTCATGTAAAAATAAGTATTAAATTAAAAAATATATAATAATTTATTAAATATTTAATTAAATATGAGTCGAACGAAAGAATGATAATTAAATCTTAATTTTTATGTCTAATAACAATTTAAATCATTATAAGTTTAAATATTAGAAAAAATTAGATATTATCTTCCGAATTTTAAGTTTAAATACCCAATAAGTCATTATATTTTTCTTAAAAGGTTTAATATTTCAATCAATGTCAATATCTAATCACGGCTCCGTCCTTATATACATGCCTTCAAAATTATTTCACGATGCATAATGGCAGAGCCGCAACTTGGTGAGAGTGGGTACGTGTCCATTATGAAATCTGAATTTTCTTCGATTAGTTACTTATTTTGTTGATAGTGCCACCTGAAATTTTTCTTGACCATCATTAAATTTAAATTTTTTTTAATTAATTATTTATTTTACAGATGATTGCCACCTACAATTTTATTTTTATCTACCTCATTTAAAAATTTATATTATTAATATATGTCTCTATCATTCAAAATATTTCCAGATCTAATGAGGCATCGTTTTCCACGCTAAATGTTAAGTGCATTTGTATAGAGTACAAGTGATCTTCGCAGAGATCCAAAACCTACCATACTAACCATGCGAATATTATTAGGCAACTATAAAGCTGCATTGAATCCCGTCCTATCTATCCAGACAACCGCCCAAATTACCATTCTTTCCAACACTATTGAATTTCACTAATCAGTCCCTTAATTTTCGTAAATTACCAGAAATTTTGTCAGTTTACCACGAAACCTTATTAAGACGTTTCTATTTTGGTCATCAAAATTTTAAAACTTATATTATAATCACTAAATTTTTAATTTAATTTTATTATGATCATTTTTATTAAATGCTGTTAAAAAACTGATATAACACGTTAACGACTTCTTTTCAGATAAAATCCCTAAGATTATAAACTGACAGCTGTCACAAAGGTCAAACTTAACGGTAATAAGATTTTATTTGACATAAAAATTAACATAATTCGATTTCAAGCTGATCTAATTTAAAAAAAAAAAAAAGGAAAACCTCGCTCCATCAAATAAATAAATGTTTATTTCAAAATAAGTCACGTGTATTGTACAATGTACGAGATGTAACGTCCCATAATTGATAAAAGTTCTTTTTAACAACCACGAATCCAATAATATTTTTATTTAAAAAACTAATAGAAATTAATTATAGAAAATTCAATGATTATTAATATAATTTATCATTTTACGTTTTTTAGCCTTTTTAATAAATAATATCCCATCTAACGTAAAAAAGGAAACCTCGTTCCGTCCAAATAAATAAATGTTTATTCGAAATGAAATCACGTGTGTATTGAACAGCATACAAAGTGTAACGTACCGTTTCCCCTTTTTT